CTCTACGAATCCTTTGAACTGATGGCGCTATTTTTTGAGCCGACGGCGGTATTTGGCCTGATGTGCCAAAATTAACTACTAGATTCTAAACTTGCCTCGTTGGCTGTTGCACATACTGCACTAATGATCCAGGATTATTTTATATTTGATTAGTAGTGGTACCTTGAACTTGCTCAAATGAACTCTGAACTGACTAGACATCATCATTACCAGTTATTGCTGCTTCTTGATGACTAGTACCGGCTTGATTAGTCCCCTGAGTCGATGGATGCGGAATGTTGTAATAAGCCGATCCAACCTGGTCAATTGGACATCCATGAAACACCTATTTCATGGTATTGTAGAATGTGTTCAAGAAAGCTGTATTATGATTCAACATGGCATCATGAACATATTTGTCTACAGCATCTACGAAGAAACGCATATCATCAGCTTCGTCTGTATCTGACTGTCCATGCATCAAAACTTTTGGTAGTGGATATTTCTGAATAACTTTATTGTCACGTGTCTTGGTGTAGGATAACAAACACTTGTTCTGAAATTCTTCTATAGTTTTACTGATGACATCTTTATCCTCATCAGGTAGGTCTTCATAAGGCACTATAAGAATGTCCCTGTTGTTGTGAGTTGCCACGACGATTGTGGGGTCCCACCGAGCGTGCAAGAACGCGTGTCGGTGCGAAAACGTGGTAGCCGCGCCGGGTGGACACGCAGCAAGCCGGAACGATCTAGAGATCTGTCTGGCTTCAACATAGGACCAGTCGATTCTGTGAATTCCCAAGGGCATACCATTCAATTTGACCTGCAATAGACAAGGAGAGAAAATTTATCAGTAATTTAGGGGTGGAACATGCTGGTTTTGCCCAGACAGTTCCAAGTGTACCGCTTCGGGAGCAGCCAGACGGGAAGATCGACTAAATAGCCGATACGAAAAGAAATCGACTGTCAAGGATTGTCACGCTCGCGGGTCATGATTGATTTTATAGTAACGAATACAATGCACCTAGTTTTAATGATCATTTCCCTTAAGCTATTAACACGTATGCGTCAAAGATGCATCACTGTCTAAATTGGATTTGATCAATACGTGGTGTAGAGCCAATGAATTCGGTGAAAAGGGATATGCCACGCAAACAATCGACTGTTCGATATAGACAGATCTACGAACTGTGTAGATCTAATCTATTACCGTCAACAGTGAGGTTCGACCGGATCGAAGCAGCTATGATGATGATGATAGTCTAGAACCAGAAAATCCATAGAACCGACCATACTTCAACAGGTTTATGAAAGCGTCCATATATCTGTGAAAGCACGGACGAATCGGCTAAAATAGCCGATTTGGGTAGAAAAGGGATTACAGCATGTGTACAATCGACTGTTTAATATGGACAGATCTATAAACTCATCAGATCTAACCTGTTATCCTTAACAGTGGGGTTCGACCGGATCGATGACAGCCATAATAAAGATAACAGATCGAACCTTTAAAATAAACAGATCTATTCATATTTAACAGAATCATGAAGACACACTATAAGCGTTAAAGTACGGACGATCGACTATTTAGCCGATGCAGGCATAGCAAACAGCCAAGGTCACGCCTGATCGAAAGCAAATCTACCAAATAGCATACTCCGATTTAAAGTGCTAACAGTGGGGATCAACTGGATCGTTACAGCCATAATAGCGAGCTATAGACCAGATTCAACTAGCTAGTAAACCTTCTCAAGATCAGACATGCCTTAGCCGCGTACTATGCATGATCAAGATCGAAGTAGAACGACTGATAAAACATAATCCGTCGTTTAAAGTAAGAACCATCGCAATGTGATAAAATAAACGATAGACTAAAAGGATGTGAGACCGATCTAGATCGATCTCAATCGGGCAGGTTGATATTGCTGAAACTAATGACAACAAGAACATCAGCAAGATCGGTAACTTAATGAATCTATTCGAAGGATGTCACCCTTAGGTAGAGCCGATAACTTAATCTTAATCTAATTCGAGCAGTGGAAGTCGAACTTAACCGATACAGCCATACTTGAACTAAATAAGGATCGATAACTAACTTATACTAGAGCTCGTAAGAGGTCGACCGGACCGATGCAGCCGTACAAATAAAAATATAAGCCATGACGGTACTTACAGACAAGCCGGAGGTCGACTGGATCGATGCAGCCCTGCTTATTGAAGAATTTGTCGAGATCTACAGTACTCCTGCTCCTAAGGGTTGACGTAAAGCCAAAAAAAGTAATTAATATTGATTGATTGGATCCCTTACAATAGCCGGGGTTCAATATTTATACCCGAAACTTAAACATGAATCCTACTCAAACACGACTTATTACAATCTTTGAAATAAAAGAAAATATTTCTAATTTAAGATAACTTTGACTCTAATTCTTTCCTTTTTTAGAGTCCGACATATTTTTCTCCTCCGACGCCATCTGTACGTAATCCGTTGATGTTATCTGCTGACGTCATCTATAAAATAGCCGATTTTCGATACCGCATCAAAACCGGCTGATATTGATTCACATCTGATCGATCCCTTCGTAATACAATCTTAGAAACTTTGAGTTTCCGCGTTTTCTCACCCTAAATTTTGATGTAAACACTCTCCTATTCATCGATCCACTGCCAAACGCTGCGGCTCCCTAAATACTACACGCATTGTCCGATGGTCAAGGATACGACCTCGCCCAACAAAACTATTGCAACTCACGCGCCCAACCACCCATTTCTCCGAGCATCAATCATCATACATCGTTTATGTCATCAAAAGGTCTTGAGGCTATAACAAAAAGCTAGAAGGTGTTACCCCCAAGTCTCCACCAAAACTTTGTGAATCTTCCGTCCACTTTGCATCTGCGACCAGCATTTTCGCTGCAACGAATAGTAGCTCCATCTACCACAGGTCAAGAAAGAACGAAAGTTATGCTCACGGCTCCCAGCTACAGAAAACTGCATTCCGCAGAGAGACATGATGGAGTCAAGTTTCCTTTAGCAGGTGATTGCTTAGTCCCAAAGGTTCAGTGGGATGGGAAGAGCTCACCGGTGATTCCTCTTGCGACCAGTGAACATGTCAACACACCCTTGTTAACTGCCGAAGACTTTGCTTGCCAGAAATGTTTGACTATGTCCCACAATGCTAAGGTTTCAACTTTCCCTGGCCATAGATGAACAGTAGGGTTAGGCATGAGAATCCTTTAGGTTAGGCATCGTGTACACTTTTTAGAGGTTGCAACAAAAGCCCACGGCTCAAGCTAATGTTTGCTCGACTGTTCGGCAACAACATGGCCAATTTATTAACCAAGTCAGAATATCGGGGGCATGCAGCTTGGCACATGGAAAAATTCCAGAACTGGTGTGCCAGTAGTGGTTGGGTTTACAGAAAGAGAATAATTTGCCACTTATTTTTTCGCAACATCTCAATAATAGTCCACCACCAATCACCAGTGAAGGACGAGAATATTGGAAAATCAAGGATTTTTCTAAGCCTCAGAAAGGAAGCCTTTACAGACCACCAGAAAACACCAGTGGCAGAATAGGGCCAATCCTTTTCAACACAAATGGTATTCGCATCAAGAATAGGTGGTGCACTTTTTTCTTGCTAAGTGCCTCAGAAATCAAGGATCCTAAGATTCAGCACATCCAGCCAGCATCATTGATGGCATGAAAGGGACCGTCAAGAGATGTCGGTCTTTAGAATATGATGTGCAAACAACAATGAGCTAAAATTTTGCTCTAAACACACTAAACTAACTAGTGGAATGGCAAAAAAAAAAAAAAAAAAAAAAACTAAGTCTAGGTTCAGTAAAATTTCAGAATTCAAATTGCTTGCACACTTAAAGTTCATAATAGTTGCACTCAAAGGTGCAGATCAAAAAGAGACAAACTCTCATGAAATGCACAAAATACAGGAATACAATGGGCACCTAACCATATGACATGCTAACAAGATGCCAAGCCTTCATTTCGCTGTTGGTAAAGCTATTCATCACCTGTTTCATTTGGCACCTTGTATTTTTCCTTGAATAGGTTAATAGCTTGATCAAACACGCTTTGCCAAATTGGATAGGCTAGCAAAATCAGGTGGCCTGTTCTCAATACCTTTCCTCCAATGTCGTCTTTTATTTCAGCTCACCACACAATATATAACTGCTTCCATGCTAATCAACATGGTTGCTGCATATGTAATGCTTTATATTGCCAATTATGATGACATATGTTCAATTGCTGAACAGAACATTTTTATGGATTCATGTGCAATATGAAAGCTTATTAGTTGAACAGAAAAAAAGAAGTTATTGATCACCTAGGTTACAAACAATAGTAGCATGTACAGAGAGAATGTGTGCAGAGCCAAGACACCATAGGTACCTTTCCGTAAGTATGGATTACACAAGGCTAACTTCGTTAAGATAAAAGTATATGTAATATAAGAAACAGTGCCAGTGACAAATTCTCTATGTTCTGCTAAAATTATTATCATCTAAAAATGCCATGTGCTCCATATCTTAGACATTACAAGCAGCTTGAGATGAAAAGAATAAAAAATGGTTACAACCTCAACGAAATCAGTTAGAATGTGCATAAGAAGCACTCACAGAAGAGATAGATACAAATGAGCAAGGAGAAACTTCTGAGCAAGGCCACCAGACAGATGCTGCTTTGTGAAAGTTAGACAAAACTATATTAAACCAGAACAGTTTTTCTGCAATTACTTTATGCAGGGCTTTTGTCCAACTTGCAAGAAAAGGTTCTTGCAGTGACTTTCCATTGTAGACTCTTGAACCACACCAACCTACTGAACTCTCCTCGTTGTTTCTCGGCTTGGGAGACTGTCTTGTTTGAAACAATCATCCATTGCTCCAATATAAGTACTCGCCTGCTGGCCACAGAACTTGGTAGAGGCAAGGTAGACAAACAGAAACAGGGGTTCAGATACAAGTAATCTCTCTCTCTCCAATTTGTGACCAGCATCAAGCAAAATGGACAAGAGCATTCCTGTAGTTAGCAAGATTTTTTGCTCAGGCACTCCAACAATGCTGATGATAAGGAGGAGACCTATTGTAGTGAATGGTGGCGGTTTTGTTGTTACTGACCTCAGTCATAACATTGTATTCGTCGTAGATGGTTGTGGAATACTTGGATCCAAGGGAGAGCTTATGGTCAAAGATGGTGAAGGAGAACCAATATTATTCATCTCTAAAAAGGTAACGGATCATAACTGCAAAATAGTAACCCTTGGACAAAGGTGCATGATTTCTTGATTTTCCATGATTCTGCGTGTTTCACTTGAACAAAAGTTAATTGATAGGTCCATAACTGTAGCTCTATTAAGTTGATATAATTCCTATGAGCTTTTTACATTATTTCACACTTTGCTTGGACAGGGTAGCTCTTAAATTTTGTGGAGATGTCGGAATTCCTTTCTGTTTCAGCTCCCATTTATGATAATGAGACTACCTCTTAGAGAACAAAATAACAAGAAGGATGCAGAACTTTTTCTTGACAAATGGCAGAAAGATTACTTGTGAAAAACACATATGACATATTTGCCCTACAATGTCTTCATTTCCTCTGTTTTTTTTTATGCTCACCATATTAATACTCTACACCGCAGGGAGGAATTGTCCAGGCGCTAAGCACAAGGAACAAATGGAATGGATACTCCATAGATTACCAAGGAAAAAACAAGTTGGTTTTTAGCCTAACTGATCCAAAATCATGCACAGCACAAGGTGCTCCGATTAGAATTCATATTGAACCCAAGAGGAATTGCAAAAATTGGGATTTCGAAATTGGTGGATCTTTTGCAGATAGAGACTGTACAATAGTTGATTGCACCAGAAAAATAGTAGCCCAGGTATGCAGCGCCTTTATAATCCCCTACACCTCTGCTTTTGTAGTACATTCTCTTTGCAGATTCCTTTTGTTGTCACTAATTAAAGGCATACACAAGCCGATCCAGGTCATGATTAACACAGAAAATAAAAAAGTCTATTTCTGCATGTCTATAGACATGGTGCATTTTTTGGCTAAGAAAATGTATAACCGTCTCTAGAGATAGTGCTACCCTGTTATGTACATGTGTACGCAAGTAGCCAAGTACTTAAATGAAAGTGTAGAAGTTTACAGGCAGCATTACATTCATGCCACCAGCATTTCAGTGTCAGAGGGATTTGATCTAAGACATAGTATCTGTTCTGCAGATGGGTATGAAAGAGCTGATAGGAGGCAAAGACTTCTACCATGTGGAAGTGCAGTCAGGATATGACCAAGCTTTCATCATTGGGGTGATGGCAATTCTTGACAGCATACATGGAGAATCCACCAGATGCTGATAGAATGAATTAGCGAATTTGCTCTTGTTTATAAGAGTTGAAAAATGTTCAATAGCACTGATCTTGCAACCTACTTTCATCTTCAAGAAATAGACACATGCTGGCACCATCATAATGACTGTATGACCCACATGGAATAACATTCAGAGGCCAGCTGATGATATGAGCCTAACTTTCGCTGCCACTTAATTATCTTTTTAATAAACAGAGAGATGTGACTAACTAACTAAATGTACAGCAGCATAGAGCATCCCTATTCCAATGTTACATAGTACCTGGTACTTAATATAATTCAATACACAAGAATTGCAATTTTCATGAATTGTGAATAAAGTAACTAAATGTGTACATTGTACCACAGTCACCAGAAATCTGGATCGACTGGGCCATGGCCATGGATTGTGGGTGTCTAAAAAGTCCAATGAAGTGATATCTCTTAAGCAGCGAAAACAGAGCGAAAACAGAGAAAGGATGGGAAATGTCTTGACTTAGTAATTGAAATTATGAAGAATGTTACTGCCTTAAATTGGACTTCATTTGAACAACTTAAAATTAATTTTAATTCTGAGACCAACTTAAATTCTCCCAAAAAGATAAAAAGTGTGATTTTGGAGGCCTAGTAGACAAGCAAATGTGCAACTTTCATGAAGAAATAGAAGTCCTTCCTTGACTTAGTGATTCCAGTTCCTAGGACAGTCCGCTAAGCTCCTCAACAGACTGTAGATTATGTTTGGAAAACTAGAAACTGGATACTCAGCACCTTAAAGGCAGGTTTAAAATTGCAATGGAAAAACTGTATAGTCAAGCTTATGTAGACATAAGCTAGCAAAAACTGTATAGTCAGGCTTGTGTAGACATGAAGAATGCACAACAATATGCATACTGCTACTGCATACCCTTTCCTACAAAAAAATCTATATGGGGATGAACAGTACAATACACAGAGAAGAAAGAATACAAATGAAGTACCTCTGCTAGAGAGTAAATTACTTCCATCCAATTCTTCAAGCATCGAGTCTTCTAAAGAAAGAATACAACTGAAGTACCACTGCTAGAGAGTAAATCTACTTCCATCCAATTCTTCAAACAATGGGTTCTCATCTGCTATTTCAATCTTATCCAGTTAACAATCTCCCAAATGTAGCTACTCTTGAATCTTGGCAAAAGGCCAAAGCGACTGACAGAGCATATGCTTGGATATGATCTTTAGAGGAGCGTGTCCAGCATTTATGTGTGCAAGTTTTGTAGCACCACTGCAGCAGGGCAGCACTATGGACACTTGTGTGACTCCTCTTTATGGGACTCAGCAAATCACTTCACTGAATGTGCAGTGCACCAAATAGCTTACCTTTATCATTCTTACACAGCATCAACTTGGTTTGACTACTTTTTGATAGTTAGGTAGCCTTGGTGCAACCAATGTCTCAATATTCACGCCTGAGTTTCTTTAGATGAATGTCCTACAAAAAACCAAAAAAAAAAGTTAAGATAGAAGCACAATGCCTTCCAATCTTCAGTAGTGTTTTATTACATAAAACTGGAGTGGGAATGAGGGATTTACATGAAGTATGTTAACAAACTAAGGACTTAGAAATGATCACATCATGACCAGTGTAGTAAAATCTTGCCCACAATTTGTGCATATCCAATCAGGCTATTAGACCCAGCATTTCTCTCAGACTAAACATGTTATTGTTACTATATTTGTGATGTACCAAAATGTAGGGAGGGCATTAAGCATGCTGTCAAGCTATTAAATCTAACCAGAGCATTGATTAGGTAATTTTGAGTTAGAATGGAGATAGAGATAGTTCAAAAAAATGTACAATCTAGTATAGGTGCCACGCAGGAGGCAACTGATAAAAATAGAAGAAAACTCACCATGCTTCGTTGTTCTCATCTAGAGAAGTCCCAGTTCTATGCAGCAATAAGCACCTGAGACAGCTCAGGTGCTCTTCCCTACATTCTTTATTTTAGCACAATTCAACTATACAGCAACTGAAATATCTAGTCTTTGGCTCTGGTGAGAAGGAACTTTCTGACTAGCTGAAGCATGACCTGAAGCAATAAGCATTATTTGATCTACCTCATTAGGCATCCCAGCCTTCAAAACACAACTAATAAAAGAATTAACTGTAATATTGTCAGGGCGACACCCAGTTTCCACCATTTTGTGGAAAAGGGTGATTGCCTCTGCTATCCTACCCTTCATACAGTGCCCAATTATTAGAATAGTATATGTATACTTGTCAGGATGACACCCTTTCTCTTCCATGTCTGTTACAATCAAGTTTGCTTCATCCACCTTTCCTCCCTTGCACAGTATATCAATGACCGGGTTATATATAAATGTCTGTGGAGCAATGTCTGCTCGCATATTCAATTCCCTTAGAAAACCAAGAGCTTCTGCTGATCTGTTCTGCTTACAAAGTGAGTGTATTATGATGGAGAAGGTGTATACATTTGGTTGAATATGATGCTGACCCATCTCCTTCCAAATCCTCATGGCATCATCAAGCTGTCCACACCGACAATATCCATCAATCAAAGAACTAAATGTCACAACGTCGGGAGGGCAGCGACGGAGAATCAGCTGCCGATACATTCTCACTGCAGATTCCATGTCCGAAGCCTTTCCATATCCATTAATAAGCACATTGTATGTGACCGTGTTGGGCTTTGTTCTAGATTCAAGCATGTCAGTATATACTGACAACGCATCCTTCATCCTGCCAGCCTTACAATAACCTGATATTACCGAGGTGTATGTCACAACATTGGGCATGCAAACACCATCCCTCTGGAGCCTCCTCAATACCTCATGGCCCCTGTTCACCTGCTTCACCCTGCATAGCCCATCAACAAGAATATTGTGTGTGATGGTATCCGGAGAACACCCAAACTCAGTCATCCTTTCAACTAACTCAAGTGCCTTCTGGAAATTCCCCACTCGACACACCCCCTTAATGACAACATTAAAACTCCAGGCATCGGGAGAATACAGCCCATCCTGAATCCAGCTCTCAAACAAAGCAACAGCATCCTGCGCACGGCCACGGGCAATTAACGAGTTCAAGAGGTTGTTATATGCATAAGGCTCAATGCGGCAACCAAACCGGGAGCCCTTCGTGAGCAAAGTCGCCGCAGCATCAAGAAGGCCGGCATTGGTGCAGGAGCCGGCCACGAACGAGAAGAACCCTGCTTCGGGTAAGTACCCCGCCTGATCCGTCATTTGGTCGAACAGCTTTAGTGCGTCCCTGAGACGACCGGAACGGCAGAGTGACGCGATAACGTGGCTGTAGGACTTCTCAGAAGGAGGTAAAGAGAGCGGCGGAGAGTGCAAGGCGGAGAAGATGCGGAGGGCAGAGCCGGCGCACTGCGCGAGCCGGACTGCGGCCGCGGCAGCAAGCGGGGAGGGCGCGAGGCCGCGGAAGGCCGGGAGGCAGTGCGGACGAAGGAGGGCCGCTGACGCGAGCGCCTTGGCGATCCAGAGATCGGCGGCGTCCGGCGCTGCCGGGGCCGGGTGTTGCGGCGGCGGGTGGGCCTCGGGGCTGAAGGCGTAGTGGAGGAGGCGGAGTAGGGGGTGGTGAGGAGGTAGGCGGAGGCGGAGGAGGAGGAGCGTATCGTCGCGGAGGAACATCGGGGAATGCGTAGGAAGGGGTTTCGGAGCGTGTGCGCGGAGGAGGGTGCGGCGGCGGCGGCGGCGGTCATGGACTCAGGATGCGGGGAGGCAGCATGGACGTCACAGTGATGCGCATCGGAGGGAGGAGGGAGGAGGGAGATGAACTGAAAGCGCAGGGTTTTCTCATACGGAGGTTTTTCTTACGAAAACGACAAGCCAAACTAGTTCAATTTCAGGAAACACGAAATCTTATATTTTGAAACATCACATCGGATGCAATTCATCGCAGGAAGGGATTTAATACAGAGTCCAAATTTAAATAAAAACTTATTATACCCGAACTGATGACGAGAAAAGTGATCATATGAATTGACACAAGTTTATCAATGATGAGTTAACCATTTACCAAAGGCAAAAGAGTTATATGTGCATAGAAATCAGCTCTTCTAAACTGGTTCATTTTTCTTAGCGGTACACGTAACGATGCCGAACCAGCTTTGATAAATCTTTTGCTAAACCTTGTTGAGATTCTAAACCCATTATCGCACTAAGTTCATTTGATCTTTCCAAACCTATCTAAAAACCTAGCCCTTAATAAACCCCCTCGAGTTGAACCCTAGTTAACGGATGAGTAATAGGCCTAAATAACTCATATCTTCTTATAATACAAACAATCAAATATGAGAAGTGATTAACATACTTTTGAGTAAATGGTCTCTCTTTTAAGTCTTACCTAGCCATCTCTAACTACCTAGACAATCAGATGCCTTTGTATAACTTGGTGTCTCAACTAAACTATTATCAATTTCCAATGACCCTCTACTATTAAACTAGATCAGTGCCCTCTTCTTGGTTTGGCCAACTTAGTAGCCCTTGCAAAGGAGCAAGATCATCTTCGGACCTTTGTCTGGCCTATGGGAGCGCCTTGAAACATTGAGTCTTTGATCGCTTTTTATGGTCTTGTTGCTCGGTTTCTATGCTGCTTATGGCCTTTCCTCACAAAAAAGATGGTTCCGTAGTGGGGTGGCACCAACTAAGCTTCACCATTGCTCTCCATTCGATGTCTAGATATCCAGAGTTGTGAGACAAGTGTAGCACTATGGTCATAAAACGATATTAGCGGGGATGAGTTTGGGAGGCTAGCAAGTTGGATCGAGTCATTTCTTTATTCGCTATGAGTAGATTGGATTCGATTTTTCCCTCGCTCTCTCGCCTTGATGATTCGATGCTCTCCAAAACTTGAATCTGACTCAAGATGTTGCCGCATAGGATCATAGTCTGTAGTTCTCATCCGAGATAGCTCTAGATAGCTCAATGTAGAAAAAAAGTCATTGAGCTTCTTATTTAGAAAACCATTTTACTATTTATATTAGATAAAAATATTGAGCATGTTCGTTTGCATAAAGTTAACTGTTGGAGTGTCTACTGCTGCCATCTTAATAAACACACGAAACATCATAGTAATAGTGGAATTCAATAACAACAGTGTTGAGAAAAGACCAACCGAAGGCTCATTAAATTTATCTTCAGATTTAAGCTTAAAATTTCCTGGACGAGCAGCTATTTCAAACGTCCAAACAGTGATAACTTTATCAATTTCTTATAAACTACTTTGATAAAACCAATCCGCAAAAGGCATCTTTGCTCACATTTCTAGAGAGCGCAACGTCCCCTATATGCAGTATCTGATGATTTGAGGGTGTGAGCTGAAAAATCGCCACATCACCAGGGCCACGTTTAGTTGGTCCCCAACTCGGCGCCGTCGGATTTCATGGAGGTACTGAGCTGAAAAATCGCCACATCACCAGGGCCACGTTTAGTTGGTCCCCAACTTGGCGCCGCCGGATTTCATGGAGGTTCTGTAGCTACAGTAGCTTTTCGTTTTTATTTGTTAATAGTTGTCTAAACATTGATTAATTAGACTTAAAATGTTCGTCTCGTAAAGTACAACCAAACTGTGTAATTAGTTTTTGATTTCATCAATATTTAATACTCCATGTATATATGTACAGTAAATTTGATGTAACGGAAAATTTTTTTTTATAGATCAATGTTTGGATTTTGGCTGAACTAAACAGGGCCCAGATTACGGCCGCCGGCGGCCCGCTCTGTTCCATCGCCCCAAGCGCAAGCGGCGTGCCTTCGCTGCGCCGCCTAAATCCACCGACGACAGAAAGGGGTGCCTCTCTCTCACACGATGGACTCGAGCTCCGGAAGCGGCGGCGGGGTGGAGGGCGGGGTCGGGGAGGGGCCGACGACGCTGGACGAGCTGTACCAGATCAACGTGGTGCTGACCGAGCTGCACTTCAAGTTCCGCAAGGAGCTCCAGGGCCTCCGCGTTGGCCTCAACTTCGAGGTCTCATCTGGAAGACTCATACCAAATCCTAAACCTCGCCATAAACCCTAGAGTGCTGTATGCGAATTTTCATCACTCATAGATTTGTTTGTTCATTGCCTCCAATCATTTCCATCTCTGATAATGAAATTGATTTTCCCATAGGCTCCTTGGGTTCAGAAATACTAAATCCTCTCCATGGTTGTGCATTCGAAATAAGTGCCTTCATAGCTTGCCTCTCCTGTACGCAGGGACAATCTCCACCTGATGAAAATCTTATCGATGTACTAGTAGAAAAATTATAGGGTTACGTTCCCATAGTGGTTGTTACTACTCTATGCTGTGGTTAATCGTTTCTGCTGATTCGTAATGTCGAAATGTAATGTGATATTGTCGTTGCAGTTCTACAATCTTGAGGTGAATGACTTTGAGGCAAAGATAGTACTGAAGCCTCTAGACTACGACCGGAAATGGAAATTCCAGTACAAGCCCATCAGTGGTGACATACAGCTACTTTCCAAGAAGATACCAGTCACAAAGTTTCTAAATCTACAGGTTCTTTTCTTGTGCAGAATCCTGTTAGTTGTAATAGTGTTTTTGGGACAGCAAGTAAGTTTTGTACTTGGAAAACCACTAGTGCAAGATAATTTGATATTGTCCAGGAAACATGCATCTAATGGTGCACCCATCAATGCTAATTGAATAATTGCTCAATGTGATTGTGTGACTACAAATTATGCATTTGATGCTTGCCTTAGTGCATAATAATGCAAGTTCAAGTTAGAAATAAAAAGATGAAGACTGGTAAAAGCCTTAATCTTATTTGTTTGCTGCTCTGATAGCATAAATAATGTTGATTGAAGCAAATATCTCTTTACGCCCCCCATCTATGGATAATTATTGTTGTACAAAGTATAAGCTACTACTTCTGCTTTAGGAACTGACCATTGGGATGTATGAAGTTTACAAGAAGTGAGAATAATGTGTTAATACCTACTTGTTACATGAACTACGAATCTGCCTAAATGAAGAATAGATGTCTAATATCTCTCTTTTGTAATTTAAACATTTCCATGGTGAAAATTTAGTTGATATACTACTAGTCTTCCCTATGCGTGTGATTTGATGATTGGATTGCATGCTATGGCAGCAAAAAATTGGTCACGGAAAATGGTTCAGAAAAGATTTGTGTGCTTCATCAGGAAAAGAGCATAGACCATTTTCCTATCCAGGAAGCCATTGAACATTATTACTCACCTCCAAATGGTGTGCTGTAATCATCTGTGTCTAGTATAGATGCTAATATGCCTTAAACAAGTTAAGGTAGAGAGGTTACACTACCTGACATGATCAGATAATCAACATGGCTGAACTCAGAAATGGTAATGAGTTAAAATTAAATGCTCCGATTGAAGTTCACTTTGACTTGGAGAAATTTGTTATGTGGCTTTGATTGTGCATGAGATTTAACAGCAATGGTTCACAGGTTGGCATTGGCCACAATTATCATCTGAATGCAACTGGATGGAAGTGGAAGCTTTCTACTTGCCTGGGGGGAGACGGTGTCTCTCAGATAAGAAACAAGTCAAAACTCAGCTTGTTCCCAGGGTTTGATTTGAGGATTGGATGGAAAGCAGAATATGTGCTTCCTGAGATTCATGGGTAAGTCTGAATCAGCACTAACACTACTTAAATTGCTTATAATTATTAGAAGCATTCAAACAGGATCCATTGAAACTTACTGCTTGAACACAGTTTGAACTCAAGAACACTGTGGTTGATATATTTGCTCTACACAGGGCTGTTGGCACAGGAGAACCAGCCTTCAGTATGAACTATGGAAGGTTGCATGCATCAATAGATCGGGTCGAGGCTATCGTTACTCAATTTTCTCGGAAAGGCGAGGGAGTTTCTTGATCAACAACAAACATTTTGACCAGATCCCAGGGTTACAAGAAGCATTCTGAAGCTCCGTGCCTGATGTACAGCAAATACCACCACTTTAGGACCACGCTTTGAGAAGCAGTTTGAGTTCTCCAAACCTTTGAGCGGCTTTTCTTGTTTCTGAAAGCATAATTAAATAATGTCCGTGCTGCTTGTGTTCGGAAATACCAGAGTATCAGTATAGTAAGCGACGTCAAAGAATGATCTGTAGTCATCAAGATTTGTGTTCTAACTACTCCGAAGTACGTAATTGCTTACGCCCTGCACAAGTGGTCGCAGTAACAAAATAAGGTGATTCAACGGTTATTTCATTTCTCTTCAAAAACTGCTCCAGCGTAAGGAAGCACCAGAACAAACCGGTTGCAAACCCGGACCACGTTTCTAGGATTAGGACATATAGGGTGACCAGTCAGACCAGATAGTTATCTACGGACACGACAGAAAGCTTGGAACCAAGGTTCATGTCTAGAACAGCATTCATTCACTGGTCAACCAGTACAGTATAGCAAAAATGTCTGTTTAGATTAAGCTAAGCTTTACGGGATTTCTCTAGACACCCAATGTCTCCCCAGATGGTCAGAGACGAACTATCAATTCATTTACTCTTGCGCTCACTGTTATAGTCATCAATCAGCTTCTCAACATCCTTCCAGAACAGGCCTTCCACAAGAACTCCTTCCTTTGTAAACCTGCACAAGAATATTGTTAAATGTGTACAAATGAACATCTAGGAGAAAAGAAAATGAGTCATGTCATAAGGATGTAACATTTAGAGCAAAAATTGACAAACTGCATCTCAGGAAAACTAGGTCGTCTTGTTGACACTTCGAACAATAAGTTATTTATATGCACTCATGCTTGCACAGTTTTCATGGCATGGTATAAGACCAAGAAAGCGACCATACAATTTTCCATCGATACCTGATATTTGCTGAGAACAAGATGCTATGGAACCATATAGGAGTTTTAGGGTCCATTTGGTTGGGCTTTTGGCTTTGGCTTTTGGCCCCAAAAGCCAAAATCCCAACCAAAGGGGCTGCTTTTTCAGAAGCAACTGTTTTTCCGTAGTACATTTTTGAAAGCTGGTTTGACCCTGCTTTTGGCTTTCTGCTTTTCGAAATTGGTGGAATAAAAAGCTCTTCCATAGCTGTTTCAAAGAGATAAAGATAGAAGGTATATTTTATACTTGTTTAACCAAACAGCTTTCAGCTTTTCTACAGCTCACAGCCCACAGCAGCTTTCCCACAGCCCACAGCAGCTTTTTCCCACAGCCACAGCTCAACCAAACACACCCTTAGGTACATCATACATGAACATCTAATCACGAAATCCTAAAGTTGACAGGGGCATCAGTTGATTGCACTTTGGATAGTAGACATTTAAGATTTTAAATACAATTAAAAAGTGATGCATCACTATATAAAATTCAGATTTCCACAAGAGATGCATCTGCCAGAGACTAAAAAATGTAAGTCTGCTGAACTGAAGACTACTGGGCACATACCACTTTGTCACGCTCTTAGTGAAATGGACTGGCTTGTTTGCAGAGATAGACTGTGGATCAGCACTTGCTATTGTGAGAGTGTACATGTCCGAGAATCTTGGTAATTTCGAAGAAATAGTGAGGCCAGTGCTGTTGAAAGAACCCTGAGAGAAAACCCATAAGTTAGCAAAGCTATAGACATCATGTTGTTAATAAATACTGAATCAAACAAGACCAGATATCTCACAGAACTGTCAACAACAATTCTCCGTAGTTAAAACAAGATTGCATCAATATCTAATAAGTGAGGCATTCAATACCACATCAAGGCAACGTGTTCACCAAAAAGAATTGTTGGGCAAATAACGAACACTGCTTTTGAAACATATGCTTTAGTGACCACAAGGACTGGATATCAAAGTACATTTGAAATCAATGCAGATTTGGCTGGCACCCTCATTAGCTAAAATATCATTTTTGCAATGTTTAAAAAAAATCATCAAAAAAAATTATGTATATAGGACACATAAAGTTAAGTATAGTTGCAACAATTCAGTTTGAAATTCAGACTAGATGTCAAGAAACAAAATAGGCAAGCAGACAGCCCTGTTCAATTGTTCATCATGTGCTGACAGTGACACTTGTGTTTTTTTTAATATCAACATCAAAGATGAATTTCACACTAAATTGTTGCAAATATTTTTAACTTTAGATATACTACAATACTACATACATGATTTTTTGAAACATTCCAACATGATATTTTAGCTAAAGAGGGCGCCATATAATTTCCCATTTGAAATTGGGGCACAGGGCCTGAAATCAAAATATAATCAAATGATCTACCTAAACACCCTTTTGCTTTCTAGCCTATCCAATGCTGTTTCATTTCTTATACATTGATAACATCTGTACGGACTGAACATAGTAGTTATTTATCATTCAAGCAAAAGTCAGACCAAGTACACAAAATTGCATCTACTCAGCATAGTCTATCACTCCATACCACAACTACTCAGCATTAGTTGAGTAATTAGGAAGAAAATACACATCTGAGTCTGAGCATAGCTTCCTGAGAGGGGTATGAATAAAACTCAAATTGTCAAACAATTATAAGAAAAATCCACTCCATTGTCAAAAAAAAATGTCTAACATAAGAATAGGAAACATATCACAACTTTTAAAGGGCAAAAACTTCAGGGGCAGTTGAAAATAGATAGCAGTAATTGGGTCACCCATAGTTTGGGACAAGTGAAAACTTTGAAAAAAAAATGTTCAAAGGGCAAATGAATTCCACGCATGAATACTTGCGGAAAACCAAAAACTCTTCAGTTGGTTGAATATAACATTATTACACATTCTTTAAGAAGCAACTTTGACAGCTTATGTTTCTATTAAAACACAGCCACTTCAGTCAGAATTTTAAGAAGGAACATATACAACTATACAAGACAAGCACTCATGCAGTTCTAATGTCCTAAACATGATCAAGCATATATCTAACATATGCGATACACAAGCTGAAGTTAAGAATTTGACTCTGGTCAGATACAGCACAGTCAGGAATAAAGTAAAATAGATTGCACATTAACATGTACACTTGGAAAGTCAGAATTCAAGAGCAACAAGTCCAGATAGAGACAAACCGCAGGTGGGTGCGTGAAGAGGATGGCATCCTTCTCCTTGGTGTAGCTAAGGATCAGCAGCACCACATTCAGCACCACATACGTATCGAGCCATGTAAGTCAAGGACCAACAGCAACAAACAACAATTCCACACGATTCCCGACCGAAATCGGATCTAGCGTCGATTCATCATCATAACCAAAAGATAGGGCAAACCCAGTGAAGAAAAGGATATAGTGCGATGCAGCCGAGGAGGAATTCGCGGTTCTGCGGGAACTTCTTGGGGTAAAACTGCGCGAGGAGGGCGACAGCGATCACGGCGGCCCCGATCCCCAGCTTCCAGTTGCCCAGCCGCGTGTCCTCGGTGTAGCCCTTGCTCTTCACGACCTGAGCGCATCACGAAAACCACCTCGTCAGATAGGAACCAAGTGGGAGGAGAGATCGAGAATGGGGAAGGAGAGGGAGGAGGGGCTAGGGTTTAGGGTGAAGCATAGTACATCGGAGATGGTCTCGTCGAGAAGGTGCTTGATGGAGTACGGGTCGAGGAGATTGGCCTTCTTTGGGGTAACCTTCGCCGGCGTAGCCGCCGCGCCGCCGCTCGCCATGTCCGCCGCCGCTACGCGTTCGTCGACGAGGAGGGAAGTGGTGGTAGACGGAGCGGGCGAGTGAGCGATGACAGAAGAGGGGCCTGTGGGTATATGGCGGATCTGTCAATGACTGGTGGGGCGGATGTACTGGGACCGGCTAGTCAGTTACACATAGGGCTGCTTCTTGGTACACGTACAGGGCCGCCACGCGGGTGGACCAATGGGAGAAAAGCAGCGCGTCACTGGAGTGCCACGTCGGCACTGAGATTTCTCCCAAAAAGATTTGAATCCATGTTCGGAATGCAGAACAGGAACAGTAGCGCAGTATTTTAGAAGTTGTTGCATTAAATATAGGTAAAAAAATAACTAATTACACGATTTAGTTGGAAATCGTGAGATTATCTTTTTGAGCTTAGTTGGTTGGTTTGGTGTGAGAAAAAAGACAAACGCTACTATTCATCAGGTTGCAATTTTTTGCAATCTAAACATGGCCCATGTTCGGAATGCAGAACAGGAACAGTAGCGCAGTATGGAAGTTGTTGCCAACTTTGGTCGTTTCTGACAACCTTTCCAAATTGAGAGTTGAGGAAAAGGTTCAAAAATATTTGAGTTGCTTGTCAACTACAATTTCAAGTTTTTTACGGCCTTTCAAATGGAGAGATAAGGGAAAAACAAAAACAGATAGAACACCACCATTCCCTCGATGCGTGTTTGCATCTATCTTGTTCAGTACGCCCTTACATAGAATTTAGACTCTTTGACCCTCGTGGGCATAACTAACCAAATCATAGGAACCAAACTGAACTAGCTAAGACCGATGATCGAAACCGAATTCTCCAGTCTCATGAAGTAACCAACCAAATTAAATCAAGATAATTCAGTCTTCGTCCTTGTTTAGCTAAAATAGATGAAAACACCAGCCTAATAAATCTTCCCAACCCTAGCCTAAGTGTTCAAGAAATCCTAAGTGAGTATTGATCTTGCTTTTGGCTTTTGGCTTTACGCTTTTTAAATTGGTGGAATAAAAAGCTCTTCCATAGTTGTAAAGATAAAAGGTATTTTTATACTTGTTTAACCAAACAAATTTTCTCTTTTCTACATTCCACAACTCACGACATCTCAATCCTTTCACGAAAGGTTTGGTGTTTTATGTATTCTACCTCACCAGAAACATCTCAATCCTTTCAGAAGGTTTGGATGTAATAGAAAGAAAGCATACGGAAAGATATAGTATAGGGACATAAATAATCAGGCAAGATTGCAAAAATCATGATCTTGTATCAGATCAGAACTCTAATGGTAAGATTGCAAATCATACAATCATAACTACCAAAATTACAAAATCATAGATTCCATTTAACTGAACCTAGAATCAACGAAAATCGCAAAGTCATAAAATGGGACAATAGAATAGAGATTTACAAAATGGGACAGTAGAATAGAGATTTTAACAACTATGTAATTAGGTAAAGTCTAATTTTTAAGCCTCGAACTTACCCATTAGTCCGATTATCAACCCTAAACTACAAATTCTGGTATGAGACAACCATCAACTGTCGAAACCTTATGAAACACTACCCCCATTCGGTCCGAAGGTGTTTCCAAGGCGTTTTTATTTGTCAAATTAATAAAAGTATGGTTTTAATCTTTATAAATCATAAAAATTATTTTTATTAAAAAATTAAAACTAGTACAATTTTTTTTAAATGTTATATAGTTGTTGGTGATCTATTTAGAATTGTCTAGAACTTAATTATTTTATTCTTATTGTTCTATTATTCATATCCGTGCTCATCATTTATTGAAATTATCATTTTGCACTCTATCTGACCTAGAACAACCATGAGGATCTTTCAAACTTTGAGTGCATAGAAAAGTGTGGAAGACAACACCAACATTGATGCCATGCTCCACCATATGTCCATATGATTCTATCAAGACATTGCATGTCGATCACTTTGATTGCATGATTAGTTATAAGTTTCAAACTAAGCCATGCCACAAACATCACACAATCAACTAGTTATTTGATCAACATAAAGTGAATACATGAATGCCTTCTTATTTATTAAATTGAAATCTTATTTTTAAATTATGACCATCTTATCTATGCTTGACCTTATTTGTATCAAAGAACAATAAAATGGTATACAAATCTTATTATGGCTGATCACTGTACTATGCATCCATTAAACAATTTGTAGACATTTAAATAGACGACCCTACTGTACAGACTTTCTGTTTAATCGTTTGAATTGTGACATGACAACTTCTTCTGTTTCATCGTTGAATTGTGACATGGCACAACAACTGTGTGTCTCACAATAAATCAACACCACCAAATTTGGGGGGACCAAAAAGAATGGTTTTGGACCCAAAAGAATTTTTTTGGACCCAACCCTTTTTTTAGCTTAGGTTTGATCCATTTCCCGTGTTTGCTGTAGAGGGTTGGGTCCATCCCAGCTTTTTGTTTGGATGAAGCGCTAAGTTTGGTGGATTGGATACTTGACATGCGGGACCCGCATGTCATCCTCTCAACACTCTTTCTTCACCCTTTGTCTCCTTTCTCCTAACTCCCCTAGAGCATGCACGGAAGTTCTGGGCTGCTGCGCATGGCCGACGCCACTATACATGGTCACCACCGCCATGGGTGCGCGTGCTCGCCGCCGCTGGTGTTGCTCATGCTCGCCACCTGCCAGGGCTAAGCGTGGCATGCCCCCATTGCGTGTGGCCCGCCTGCCTTCGCTCGCACACGGACGAAGTGGGTTTAGGGCATGTTTGGTAGGACTTCTCATGGCTCCGGCTCTTCCTACACCTCGTACTATAGCAGTACTGTTCATAAGGAGTTGTTTTCCTCTCTCCTATCAAAATGAACTGGGAGCCGGAAGAAGCCACGATTTATGACTCTTCCGGCTTCTCTGATACTATAGCGAGAGAATCTACAGGAATATTAACACACCTCTTTTGATGATGGATCCAACCCTACAGGAAATATTAATTCTCTCTTTGTGATGGATCCAACCCACGTACTCTCCAAAACTAATTAGCCCCAAAAACGGATTCGACCCAACTCAACTCACTTCGAGAGTACCAAATATCCCAAAAAACGGATTTGAACCAAACACACTCCTCTTTGGATTGTACTTGAACATGCCCTTAGGCACACTTTCTGCAGGCTGTGCAATATATAACGGTATCCAAAAATCTCTTTCTCAAAGCATAACCTACTGTAAAGCCTTAGCCAACCATGTTAACTTTAGGCCTCAGTGATAAGTCCACGGTGAAGCAGAAGCTAGTGTTATTTAGTTAACATGATTGGCTAATACTTATATCGGGTTCTTATTGCGGGAACACTGAAAACTTGAACAGCAATAATCACTCAGCTGACCCTTGTATACAAAGTACTAAACTCATTTCATAAAAAAAGCATGTTCTCAGAATGACCAAAACTGTATCGTCTACGCCTCGTGAAATACAGCGAGTAGACCGAACTCAAATGTCAAGAACATTCCAACCTTTGGCATTCCTCAGACAGCCTCGAGGTCGGTGTACATTTCTGAGGTCGAGATCTGGGGAGTTTGGATCTGAGCACTAAAATAATAAGATCAGATTCACTCGAGCTGTCCCAGATGCATGCCACAATAAACGAGCGTACAACTACTCACTGACTTGTCTCACATGCATGGCCAATAATTCTCATATATTCAAAATACAATTCATCTTGAACGGCTGATGAGTTTTTCTTTTTCTTTTTCTTCTTTTCCCATCAGAATAGCTGTTGAGTAATGCAGACGAAATAACACCTATGAGCAAATGCGTTTAAAACATTCTTGAGCAGGCCAAGGCATGCATACAGCTAAGTCAATACAATTATTTCTGCAATATGTACAAGATCTGGAAAATATGATTAGTTCTATCATAGATTGTGAAAATGAACCAGCATTTGCCACTGTTAGGTCGTAAAATATTTTTTGGTTCGTCGCATTATTAACCGGACAGAGCAATTCAGCTCGTTTGAGAATATTATAACCTGACAACTTCAGTGCCGGATTGCACTGATTGTGAAAATAAGGCAATTATCTAATCTGACATAAGATGAAAAGTTGTGATTGCAGAACCGCTAAAAAGATTTACATTATGTAATTCTGTACTCCTACTCCTACATAAGTGAAAATGAGTATTTCTGGTTCAAGAAAGGAAACTGAGGCACTGTGTACGTTTTCTTTTGATTTTTTGGGGGAATTGGATACAGTAAAAACATTCAGATCTATAAAATCTAATGCAAACTAGATAGTATATAGCTTTGCAAAATTGCACCAATATTCTGCACTTCCCCAGGAAATGGCAATGCGCCTTCAACGGAAGGAGGGGAGAATTAAAAGCCTATGGAATTACTAAGCTATCCTATATGGTAATGACCAATGAATCCCAGGACTGGGGGATCGAGGTCTTGATCCTGAGTGCACATTGTATGTTTGATTTTTTTTATTTAATCAATCATTCCACGTGGAGTGATCTTGATTGTGAAAATAGAAAAGGGAAACTGACAGGTTAGTTTATATCATACCAGTGCAATAATTGAAATAAATCGCTTTGTACGCTGAAGCCCATTTAAATCTCCAAACCTGGAGTAAGTGAGTAAGCAATTCTAACCCCACACGACCGAACACTGTAATAGCACATCAGCAGTAGAATAGAACTAACAATCTAGATCAGGTAAGGCACGGTAACAATCAAAGCTGCAGCACAACTCTCATATCACATAGCCTCTCAACTTGTGCCCTGCACGGAGCAGAAGCAGATTGTACACGGTAGTACTACAACAGAACGGAAAGAATGGCGTCGAACAGGGACAGACGCAGCTACTACACCATGGATTCGGTTACAGCAGCATCAGATCAGATCGCAAATAAACGACGGACCTGGCTGACGCTCACGGCGAGCATCGGGCGGGGGGACGGTGGTCAGGTGAGGGGCGTGGAGGAGGACACCTCGGCCGTGTCGAGCCGCCGCAGCTGCCACGCGCGCAGCGCCAGGAAGGCGCCGAGGACGACCTGCATTGCGACGGCCACGCCGGCGAAGGCGATCCCGAGCCGCTCCCCGAAGTTGAGCCGCCGCCGCCTGGGCGGCGGGGGCGGGGACGGCGGCGGCGGCCGGTGCCTCCGGTGCCGGTGCCGGTGCCGTTGCGCCGGAGGGGGAGGAGGGGACGGGGCGTCGGAGGCGGAGGCGGAGGCGGACGCGGCCTGCCGCTGCGTGGCGGGCACCGTCGGCGGCGAGGGGGCAGCGGCGGCGGCGGAGGAGGAGGAGGAGGAGAGGGACGGGGAGGCGAGGAGGAGGAGCGGGACGAGGAGGGTCAGCGTCGCGGCTCGGGCGGGTGGGGAGGACCGCGGGCGTGGCGCCATGGGAGGGGGCGTGGCATCAAGGGTGAGGGAGGGAGGCGAGGCGAATCTGGTGGGATTTGGGAGAGGCGGTTGGCGGAGGGGGAGGGTCGAGGGGAGGGGAGGGGAGGGTGAGCCCGAGCTGATGAGGGCGGAGCTGGGATGAGCTGGTGCGAGGCCGAGAGGGAGCTGGACGCGTGGTTCGGTTTCTCACTGCCTGTATTTTTTTAGGTGTGCACGGTGGGAGGCCGGAGGTGTCACACATGGTGACTGGCTTGCAGAGTTGCAGCCGGCAAAGCCGCCACCCGCCAGCCCCGGATCCGGACGGCAACACGCCCACACCCAACAACGTAGCGTGTAGACTGTGGCAAGCGACGAGCATACGACAGGTACCGCCACCGGCCACCGGCGAGGTGCAATAATGGCGGAAACGCGGCTGTGCAGCGGACGTAGCAGCCCAATGCGCGTGACCGTGCCGTGAAGAAGTCGACTCCCCTCTGGTCCTGTACGCACCGTGATGAAACTGATCGGTGAAGGCCCATTTTTTTGTTTCGACAGTTTGGTATCTCCGGTAAAACCAAAACTTTGACCAAAGTTACCGTTGTTTCCCATTTAACTTCATACAAGTCGGTTTAGCTTCGTACAAGTCAAAACGTGATATAAGCCCATTTAACTTCATCTGTAGTGGATTTTTTCTTTGACCACAAACAAATAAACCTAAACGGTTATGTAAAATTGATAAAACAAGGTTGATGTCATTGCATTTATCATGGAACATGCTTTCGTTATATGTACTAACTATTTTTATCGAGAAACAATACATTTTTTTATCTAGTCAAAATGTAGTATTCTAGCGTTATAATAAATAATAACTTATGTGATTAAGAAAAATGTGCCACCTAATCGAACAAGGGACAATAGAGCAAGGCAAGAACACAATCCCAGGTGGAAGGGCAAAGCGAGCGAGGAGACCAGCGTATGTAAGGTCATGTTTGGTAACTTTGCCAACTCCGGTTTCTACCTATCTCAGCAAGGAATTGATCTGGACATGTGTTTGGATCATACACCTTGGTTGCCTTCGATTTCCATGCCAACAAGGATTTTCTTGCTACCCTGAGAGGCTGAGAGAGCCAAATCGGGGCCGGCAACGTCGTGTGTGTCGTCCAGGCCTGACAAAGCTCCTCCCCCTGTAACCAACCATGCCCTAAGATGCTACTAGGAGGTAGATCTCGCAGAGACCAACAAATATAACCAAGCCACTTTTGGCAAGGTTGATTGAATCAAAACATATATCCATGAATTACTAGAGCAAGTATAATAACATGCTATAGGTGGACTGAATATCAAGATGGAGGAAAAAGAAGATGAGGGAAAGGAAAATGGGATGTAAGCTTTCAGACAGCTTAAGCACAAGAACAAAGACACTTTACGAGAGATGAAAGTGGACCATATACTTAATAGTAAAGAGCTAACTACTCTATGGTTGAGCTGAGAGATGGGCTATAAGGATCCATACAGCGTTGTATTATTAGCATTGCTCTAAAGCTCCAAATACAGAAATATAATAGGAACTCACATACACGAATAAACACACATGAACAAGCGTTCGGATGACCTGCTGAGAGAACACACGTACGAGGTTTGAGTGGATGTTTTTTTCTCATAGTTTCCAACTAAATCAAACACAGGAGAAATTCATAAACAATTTGTAAATGACACTACGATAACTCGATCCATAAGAACGAGAATCCTTTCTTTTTCTCTGTTCGTATAAATCCAAATTCAAAGTAGTTAGAGCATATCCAAGAGTTTTCTAAACCTTCTCCTAATCCTTGATTTTTAGAAAGAAGTGAAAAAAATCCATCTTCAACGTCTCCTAATACAACCTCCTAATATTTTAGAAGTTGAAAAAATCCCCCTCATCCGCGTAAAACTATGCGGACTCTCGTCGCCCGGAAAGAGGTTCCTTCGCCTCGTCCATCACCAGTTCGCGAGTTCCTTCGCGTCGTCCATCACCACTTGGCCTTCCAATTCCATGATCGGCGTCGGGAGCGAGAGCGGCGGCACTGGGGGCAGCCCGGGAATGTCCGCTTCGTCGTCCATCTCCCCGAACTCTCCGGCACCTGGAGCCAACGACTTCCACGACGATGAGCCTGCACCCTAGCGCTGAAGACGCCGTCGATAGAGTGGTTTTGCTGCTCCAGGTCACGCGGTTCACGCGTCGGCGACGGCGTCGCCTTGCGCGGCCTCGGAGGCGAGTCCCGGGCCACCGGCGGCGGCGTCGGCGCTGACTCCATCGGTCCACCGTGATTCAGCTTGCATGTTTGGTGTGGCAGAATCGCCTAATCTAATGCCTCCCAGAAGTAATTGTCTTCCATTAGACACTAAGCATCCAAAGGAGAACACTAAATTACTCGGTTCCGTCGGGCACACTCCGTGGGAGAACCAAAAAATCCACATTTTTGCCATCAGGATCACAAATGAAAGAAGAAAGCTTACATCATTCCTAACCATTTCTTACATCACTTTTAATACAACATCAGAGTATAACATTTATTATTTAACAGCGGAATGTAATCATATTATCAGAGTTATGAACAATTTAATTTAACTGTGGAATATAAACATGTGATCAGAATTACAACGGAAATAAATACCTATTCATGAAATGATGACGCATTGATATATAAACTATGACAACAGATTATAATACTTTCATTCATAAAAATATTTAGTGAGAGTTATAAATAAAAAATACGATCGCAAGCGTAAAGGAATCATCGCTGAGCCCATCAGGAGGTATCCACACACAAGGGTTAGCTCTAGCATCCACCTGTCACCTGTAATAGGGGGAATAAAACCCTGAGTACTCAATTGTACTCAGCAAGACTTACCCGATAGGAGAAAAGAAAAGACTCCAAGGATATGCAAGGCTATCTGGCTTATAAGTTTATTGCATTTGTAGAAGCATTACTAAGCTTGTGTCCTTATATTCGATTTTTATTAATAACCGCATTGGTTCATTAACTAACCATTCTATGTAAGCACCTGTGCTACTTTCAAGCAGGTGGTAAGCAATCAGATTTTCTTTTTTCATCTTTCATCTTTTCAGTTCTTACTACGGTGCTAGACATAAGACAAGCCGTACCGACTCGGCGGCGATTCGCTAACCAATGTCTCAAGCTGGGTACTCCGAAAACACACACCCTGCTTGTATCCAAGGCACAAGCAGGACCAACCCATCACCCTCCTGTCCTGGGGTTCTAGGTCCCCGTTCAAACTGGGACTCCAAGCCCTCGTCTCTGAGTCCCGGACTCAGTGCGGTGCAAGGACCTCCTCCACCAAAATAAAACATTGACAGTCGGTCTGAAAAGTGCCGGAACCCATGACAAGAGAGCAACAAGTCTTCCAAGCGCCCATACACAAGTATGTGCTCGGGATAATAAATTTGTGACTTGCCTCGATGGTTTATACAACGACCGGTCCTTAACCGACACAGACAGGGAAAGTAGTGTAACCAAGCCATGCCCCGCGTCCACGGCGACACAACCTTTTACACCCACCAATACCCAAACCATATCCCTGTTCGGGCACCATTTTTTCTTTGCACCATTTATATTTTTCAAGTGATAATAATACAGTAATATATTTTCTATCTCTCGCGAGTGACAGGCAATCACACGACTTCTACCGGAGTCCTGTAGCATAGCATTCTACACGATCCTGTCATACTAGTAAGACTATATATATATATATATGCAAGTGGGTTTCATTCAACTCCTTAAAACTTAATGCATAAATATAATTTAAACTGCAGAAAAGTAGAGGTTATGCACCGGAGCTTGTCTGGGTAAGATATATATTAAAAAATTAGTATCTGCATCTTCAGATCATCCACCATCAACTAGATAGAAAGCCAATTACATCATTTCCTAGAGAGAATACCATTACACCATCTTTGGATTCCTAATCCTCTTTCAATTGATTCGTTGATCCATCATCATACCTATATGGTATGCATTGATGCAAATGCATAGATGTAAATAACCAACGATAGCCGAAACGCTTAGAAATCCGATAACGCCTTATAAGCTAACGCGATAGCTCTAACGCGGGTCTACGTATCCATATTGTCGAATAAGACGTTACTTCTCAACTACCGTTTTAATTATACAAACCTAAGTTGTTTCGTTGTTTCATTCTATCGATTTAATCATTATTCGAAATAGGGCATCATCATTAATCTAGTAACTAATTATTACGGAGCTACAATAATTACAGTAAGTATCTAATATTGTTAGGAGCCTACTGTATAAATTTTAGATTCAATACTATTACCAATTATCCCAACAATTCCTACAAGTTTATATTTTTACAATATTAAGTACCTTAAATTAATTATATAGCTTCCAAGAATATTACCATACTATGTGAGCAAAATATACTAACAGGTAGATCATGATTCTAGGAGACTAACAAAACTGGCTTCGTATTTTTATAATCTTTCTATGATTTACCACGAATTTTACAAGTTTATTTACGAAGCTAAATTAACAATTGCTTTTAAAAACTAAAAGGGCCGGCGGCCAGATCGGCCCAATGGCGCGCGGGCGGCGGATGGCCCATGGGCCATGAGGCAAGGCGGCCCAGTGCGTGACTGAGCCCGACAGCCATGACCAGCCAAATACAGCAAGCACGGTGCCCAAGCGGCGCGGCGAGCTTAGGCGGACGTGTGAGCGGCCCACCAGCTGGCCCACGCGGCCAAGGCGGCCCAGGCGGGCGACCACAGACCGGCCCAGCGCGGGCAGGTGGCGTGGCACAATTGCGAATCGACCCCTGAGCTTCTAACAAATCATCCCGCAGTACACAAATACTATTTACGTGAGTCACTGACTTCGCATCGAAAACCCTAGAAAGATTCTATCCTCACCTTTCTCACCTTTTCTCTCTTTCCCCAAAAGCAGAGGACGGAACAGAGCCACCGGCCGGCGGTGAAATCCGGCCACGTGCTCGTCGACGACGGTGGGGAGGCGGCGTCGTGGCTTGACCGCTGCCGGGCGCACCCGCAGGTGGACACGACACGTCCAGAGTTAGAGCGTGGAGCTCCGGCCACGTGCATCGGCGCTCGTGACCGGGCGGCTCCGCGGTGAGGGTGCTCTAGTGGCGAGGTGGTGGCGGTTCGCACACGGAGGTGGAGCGGGTTGTGGTGGTGGCGCGGTGCTACGGTGGGGCGGCACGGGATGGCCACAGCGGTGGCGCGGCGTGCCGGGGCAAGGGAGCGGACGCCAGGGTGCCGTGCACCGGGTAGGAAGAGGAGGGACGCCGGGCGATGGGGTGGGAAACAGCAGGAACTAGGGCCGCGACTCCAGCGCGGAACCAAGGGAGCCTCGCGCACGGGGAAGAGCCGGCACCGAAGGACGCAAAGCAGAGCTGCGCACGGCAGTGGCGCTGGGGCAACGATGGCTCTGGTGCGGACGGTGCGGGAGGGGCGGCATGGCTCGCAGCGTGGAGCGGCGTGGGACCACGCGGCCAGCAGCATGAAAGGAGGGGCGAGGAGGCACGAGGAGGGGCGATGGTGCTCGCGCGGAGGCGAGCAGAGGAGGGGGCGGCGCCGATGGCACAGTCGTTAGGTGCTCGCGTGAAACGGAGCTGCACGCGGTGACTGTGGCCTCTAGCGACAGAAGCAGAGAGGGCAGCGCTGTGGTTGGGAGATGCGGCGCGGAACAGCGCGGTTAGCAGCGGGGAAAGGAGGGGCGGTGCTGAGAGCTTGCGCGCGCTCACGAAGAGGAAGGGGAGGGTAGCGCTGCGGAAGCTGCAGGACGCTCGAGCAGCAGCGTCGACCTTGGTGGTTGCGTGCTAGCAGCAGAGCTCGGTGCGCTTTTGCGCTGTGGGCGGGCGACGGTGGCCGGAAGGCAGGAGAAAAAAGGAGGGAGAGAGGGACGGGTCTAGCACGGCTTGACCTGATCACAGGCGCGACGCGACTGCGGATAAGACCGCACAGCACAGGCACCGATAGACAGCAGAGAGAGCCAAGGCAATGACGAGCAGAGGACGTGATGGGGCTTAAGAGGGATGAAGCGACCGAACTGGCAGACCGAAGCTGGGGCATCTCATCCACGGCAGTAGAAAAGGAAGCAACGGGAAGCAGCACGAGGGAGGTACACGTCGTACCCACACTGTCACTGCGGACACGTTGGGTGCTCGGCACAGAGACAGACAACAGCAGCAGCTTGACCTCGGCACAGAGACAGACAACAAGGACAAGCAGAGACAGACTAGCTCAAGACGAACAAGCAAGGAGACGCGTGCGGGCTCGGTTACTTCTTAAACACGACCGTAGGACGGCCTGGCCCAACATGGCCGGCAGGGCATGCCGGTTGGCACGGACAAGACCACGACCTTCATTGCAGCAGAGACGACGTGAAAAAACAGGCAGTCGAACGGTGGCGCTCACATAAAAATATCGGACGCGACGCAAGCGAGGGAGAGGGAGCAGCGGCACGACGACGGGACTTGATGACGTGGTGCGACGCAAATGTGAACAGCGATACGTCGTCGGTACTCCAAAAGATTTAAATCCTATCGACCACCATCCTTAAACATTTCACGCGACAACTCCTACTCCATACCCAGCCATAGAACAAAATATTAGGTTTTATGTAATTATTTTGCGCAAAACAATTCGCCACAATTAGCGATTTAAAATATAATTTTCGATTTTTACCGTTGACGCGAAAAACTGGTTTTTAAATTTTAAAATCCACGAAAATCGTTTCGTTAATTTTTCGTAGGCCTAAATCGCGGTGCTAAACAAGCTCGTAACACCAGAGGTGTTACATTTGGGCAGGTCCATACACCGCACGGAGGAGGCGGCCGCCGTCCTCGACGTTCGCATCCACCGCCTTCCCGCCGTCGAGCCCCCGACGGACCACGCGGGCTCCATGGAGTTCATCTCACAGGTCGTGCAGCTGCACGCACCCCACGTCAGGGCGGCCGTCTCGAGCCTGGTGTGCCTGGTGGCCGCGCTCGTCCTCGACCTGTTCTACGCCCCGCTAGTCATTGTGGCCCGGGAGCTCGGAGTGCCGGCGTACTGTACTTCAACTGCAACGCCGCGGCGCTCTCCTAATTCCTGCGCCTACCGGCGCTGTGCGAGGAGGTGGCCAGCGAGTTCGGGGAGATGGACGGCGCGGCGGACATTCCCGGGCTGCCCCCTAGTGCCGCCGCTCTCGCTCCCCACGCCGATCGTGGAATTGGAAGGCTAAGTGGTGATGGACCAAATTTTAATTTTTTAGAGTGGAATATTGGGTAATATTGGAGATTGACTTCTTTTTTCTCTTAATATTTTTTTAGAAGTTGAAAAACACGGTGTTTTTAGGAAGAAAATTTAGAAAACTCTTAGAATGCTCTTAGTATGAGCTGCGAATCCAAAACAACGAACTTTGTAGAATGGCGAAACATTTCCCGTCCCAAACGGGCCTCAATGTGCCAACCGGCCCAATTCAAAGTGGTCAGGCGATATCACATATACTGGAGGGCCAAAGTGCAAAACAACACTCCATAGTCCATACATTCCCTTCCCTCCGCCGCCGCCCGCCGCCCGACGCTTAAACCCAATTTTAGGGTTTCTCGCTTCGGCGCTGCGCTCCCCGCCTGATCGGCTCTTCCACTACCCTCTCGAAGCTTCCACTGTTCCACACCCCCCACCCATATCAACCCTAGCCCCTACCCTGTCTCCTCCTCACTGAGACGCCGCCGCGCGAAGCATTCATTCGCTCAGCCGTCGGAACCATGTCGTCGTTCTGGGGTAAGAATCGTTACGGGGCTACTGATGTTGCTGCCAATTTCCACTGTGCTTGCTCCTGTTTGTCTGACCGGAGTATTGCGTGCTTCGCAGGTGTAGAAGTGAAGCCCGGGAAGCCCTACACTCTCACACACGGCGACTTTGTCGGCCGCCTGCGCCTCACCCAGGTCTGATTCTCCTCAATGTCTCCTCTTACATGGTCAACGGGTTTATTAGGTCGTCTTTAGGAGGCTTATAGTTTTAGCATATATCTAATGTTGTGGCAAATGTGTTTTTTTTTGGATTGGCAAATGGCATCGCAGGCGACGCTAGGGGTTGAGGTCGGTAAGGGGGAGAAGGGTACCGGCGTGAAGAGGTGTGTGCTACAATGCAGTGCCGAAAACAAAGATCCCGTTTTCCTTTGCGTCCTCATGCCCGAGCAGTCGGAGACATGCCACCTGGAGCTAGAGTTTGAGGAGGAAGTCACTTTCTCAGTAATTGGGTCGAGGAGCATCCACCTCGCTGGATACTATATGACGTATCCTTTGCTGTCTTAGCATCAATTTATTATGTTTCCCCGTTGTAGATTGATGTAGGATGGCTTTAGATGATTATCTTTCTTTGTAGTAGATTGCTGCTGGATGTTCCTTGTTCTTGTGGGACTCTGTTTTTCCTTAAATATTTTTGTCAGTGATGTGTGTGAGGAAGATAGGAGTGACAGTGATTCTGGGAGCGATTCTCTTCAAGGTTCAGATGAGGATGGTTTCTTGGAGGATGATGATGATGGTAACATGGTAATGATCCACCAGATAACGACAGGCAGTACACAGATTTTATCCTCTTGCACAACTCATGTTAATATGTACTGCCAGGTTATGGGATATTCAGACAGTGAAGATGATGATTCAGAATATGATTCAGAGTCTGATGATGAAGAGATGGCATACAATCAGGGTAGGGGCAAAAGTTCAGGTAAGACATTACATATTGTCCCATTGCCCATTTGCCTTGTCATATGAGCTGTGAAAGAATGCCGTAGGAAATCTCTGTGAATGTTACTTATATTTTGCGATGCCTCCCGGATCATTTTTCTGAACCATAGAACATGGTCTATTTCTAGTTGTGTTTTTTTTCCCTTTCATAGAATCACTACCGTTGGTTAATGATTAGGTGTGCTATTTTCCCTTCCTTTTTATCACTGCTGTTAATGTAAGCTTATAGGTTGAAAGTTATGAAGCAGAACAGTTGAACCACAGTCCACAGCTATGATATGAACTGTTAGTGGGAATTGTAATTGCATATGCCCTTGAATAACTGATGAAAATAAATGTAATATTGATTTTAAGTTTGGTTAGGGTGTGTAGCAAATAGCTTTATGAATAACTGATGAAAAATAGATGTATTATTGATTTGAAGTTTGTAAATAAAACATATCAACAAAAGATGGCCGTTGTGAATTATTAATTGCCAGTGTGGAACTTCTTGTGAAACTTCATTGGGCCATTTCATGTGTCATGAACCTCCTTTTAATACTCTAAAACGTTACATGACTTATGCATGCTGTAGTTGCAGGATGTGTTAGTTATTCTATACCTTTTCACTTTAAGTTTAGTTAGATCGAACACTTCTCATTGGCATTGAAATTATCTCGTTCACAATAAAGAAATGCATTACCATGCATTCATTTGGATTGAATTGCACTTCTCATTGGCATCGAATCGAAATTACCTCATAAAGTCAATACACCTTAGGTGCCGGCCAACATATTTTTAATGGGTTTCCTTGCCCTTAATAAATTTTGCAGTTGTTATTGAGGAAATTGAAGAGGATGACAAGGCTGCTGTTGCTGAAGTGCAGAAGGGATCGAAGAAGAAGCAAAGCCGTGAAAATGGTGATGAGTCTCAACTTCAGCTTGATGCAAGAAATCCACCTACTGAATCCTTGGAAAGTGAAGATGAAGATGGTTTTCCTGTATCATTTTCTGAATCAAAGAAGAGTTCTGAGAGTGTTTCAAACAAGAAAGGTGGAAAAGACAAGGAGACTAGCACTGAAGACCGGAAAAGAAAAAGTGGAACCATTAGCGATCGTGGTGACTCTTCAGGGTACATTTTTGCCCCTGGACATTTCTTAATTCATGGCATAGTAACATGCTTCATTATTTTGTAAATTTTACTTGTGGTTATAGGGAGGTAAAGGCTGAAATTGATGGGGCATTATCAAAGAAAAAGAAAAGGGCCAAGGACAAAAGCACTGCTATGGACACGGGAAAACTAAACAACGAAGAAAAGGAGATTAAGCAACACGATTCTCCGGCTGATCCTGTCAGTACAAAACAGAAGAAAAAGAAAAACAAGAACAAAAGTGCTTCTGAGGGTGATGCCAGTGAGCAATCTGCTAAGAACAACAATATGTTAGTATCTTGAGATGTTGCCTTGTAGAAGCTTTTCACATAGGAATGTTATTCGCATGGCTCGTTATTGTTTGACATTGTTGCCTTTCATCTAATTTCAGTCATAAAGACAATGAGGAGGCAAGTGCACAGGAGGCTAGTAAAAAGAACAAGAAAAAGAAGGCAGATGACATAAACAGAAGTGAAAGTGAGGCAGCAACTGGACTTGGTGAGTCAGATAGCAAGGAGCCACTCCAAACACGAACGTTTGCCAATGGTATGATAATTCAGGAGGTAGAGATGGGCAAACCTGATGGTAAAAAAGCCACCCGTGGGAAGAAGGTAAACATTTTTGGCATCTGAGGAGCTTCAAAGGGATGACCTCCTCCTAAATACCCATTTATTATTGCAATTTCTCACTGCCTCCTGCGATTCTAACATTTACATGCTTTTTCCATGACCTGCACATATTTTTTGCATGGCTATGATCAATTTTACTACTTGAGGCTTTCCTATCTGATGTCCTTAACAATGCTATTTTTTTTCTTATTAGGTTTCTGTTAGATATATTGGCAAGCTAAAGAATGGTACTATTTTTGACTCCAACGTTAGTGGAAGACCTTTTGAGTTCAGACTAGGTAATTATTTCTTCTTGCTGATGTCTAGCTCTCGACCATTACTCCAGATTAGTACTGATGGATGATTTTAATGATGTGTTGCTTGCAGGTGTTGGGCAGGTTATCAGTGGCTGGGACGTTGGCGTCAATGGTATATATACTATATATTTGCCTTCATCTTGTTACTAAACACAGTTACTGATTAGTGCTAATTCCATCCTTTGTGCTTGTTAACAGGTATGCGGGTTGGGGACAAAAGGAGACTCACCATTCCACCTTCCATGGGGTAAAACGCCTTTGCTTTATCCTTTGTATCAGAAGCTGTTCGTTTCAATCTAGTCCTTATTTGTGGATCCTGATCTCTCCTTTCATAGGTATGGGAGCAAAAGAGTGGGGCAGATACCACAGAACTCAACTCTCATCTTCGATGTGGAGCTGGTGAACGTAAAATGAAGTGAGTACCAGATCACTTGAAGATACATGAGAAACTGCGGCAGTTTCACAAATTTTGCAGCACAGCATTTTCCTTGGGCAATGCTGTTTCATAGATATAGGGACTTGTCAAGTGGATTCTATCACTACCGTTGTAATACTTATGAACCGAGTTTCAAAAAGAACTTATTAACCGTTGCCACCTGGGATAATTCCTGGGTTGCAACCTTTGCCATCTTACTGCCGATTCATTGTGTCATTTTGGCATTCTTCTGATGCCCCAGAACTTAATTCGAATGGTTGAAATGGTTGGCTGCTCGTGTATAACTTCATGCCCATTGCTGGGGTTTGGCATTTGATCATTTTGGTTTTTTTAGTCCATTATGGCCCTGTTCGCTTGAACTTATCAGCCGTACCGTTTCAGCGCAATAATATTATTTTTCTCTCACAATAAATTAGCATCAGCTGTTTTCTCTGTTCTCAACTAAGCCGTTATTTTCTCTGTTCTCATCTAAGCCGTTACTGACTTGTGAGGCTTGTGTTCATGCGAGAAAAATGTTGATGACTTGTTTGGCTTGTGTTCAGGCGAGAAAAATGTTTTGATATTTTTTTATAAAAAATAAGGTTAGTATATAAATTCTTCCAAATTAGGCAGAAATTTTGCCTGGTTCCTGAGAGTTGAGATCAATCCAAACAACTCTTGACGGCTAGCTGTTGGACGCCAGCCAGTGCAGTGACTGCAAGCGGCGCGCCCGGCGACCACGCGGCCACAGCCACGGCCCATCGCTTCCCGAGCGCCGAAATCCAAATGCACAATGCCTTCGCCGCCACCGCCTCCCACCGTGTGCGCTCTCCTCCCCTTCCCTCCCTCATTCGCCGGCCACCCTCACCACTCGCGCCTCCCCGCGCGACGCCGCCTGTGTGTCTGCAGCTCCAGGCCCAGCCCGCCGGGTCTCCCCAAGCCCAGAACTAGCACTAGGCCGCCTCCGCCGCCACCGCGCCGCCTGCACGGGGCGAACCGCCGCCTCAGCGCCCTGATCCACCGGGGCGACCTCGACGCGGCGCTCCGCCTCGTGGGCTCCTCGCCGCGCCCGCCCGATGTTCCGCTCGCCAACCGGCTTGTCCGCGACCTCTGCCGGCGGGGCCGCCCCGCCGACGCCGCGCGCGTCGTCGAGGCGTGCGGGCCCGAGGCCACCGCCGCCACCTACGGCGCGCTGGTCGACGGGTACTGCCGCGCGGGCCTGCTCGAGGACGCGCGCCGCGTCGTGGGCGGCATGCCCGCGCACGTGCAGGCCAGCAGCGCGTACGCCTACAACCCGCTCATCCACGCGCTCTGCGAGCGCGGGCGGGTCGCGGACGCCCTCGGGGTGCTCGACGGCATGCTCTGCCGCGGGTGCGCGCCCGACGTGGTCACCTACAACATCCTCCTCGAGGCAGCGTGCAAGGGGAGAGGATACCGGCAGGCCATGGAGCTCATCGACCTCATGCGCGCAGAGGGGTGTGAGCCCAACGTCGTGACGTACAATGTCATCATCGATGCTATGTGCAGAGAAGGTGATGTGGACCAGGCACGCGAGCTTCTCAACAGCTTGCCTTCTAGAGGTTGCAAGCCCAACACTGTCAACTACAACACTGTTTTGAAGGGTTTCTGTAGCGTTGAGCGATGGCTGGATGCCGATGAGCTTCTAGACGAGATGGTTCGAGAGAATTGCCCACCAAACGAAGCAACAGTCAATGTGATCGTCAATACCTTGTGTCGAAAAGGATTGCTCCAGAAGGTTACTCGGTATCTAGAGAAAATGTCAAAACATGGATGCATGGCAAATGTTGTTACTTACAATGCTGTCATCAGTGGGATGTGTGAGCAAGGGCATGTGGATAGTGCCTTGGAGTTACTAAGCAACATGCAATCCTTTGGATGTAAACCCGATATCGTCACCTACAACACTCTGCTAAAGGGTTTGTGCAGCGTTGATCGGTGGGAGAATGCTGAGGAGCTAATGATTAAGATGTCCCAGAATGATTGCCTCCCAGATAATGTGACATTCAATACTATAATTAGTTTCTGGTGTCAAAAGGGATTGATTTTGCGGGCCTTTGAAGTCTTTAAGCAAATGCCTGAGAAAGGCTGCAATCCTAATTCAACCACTTACAGTACAATGATAGGTGGACTAGCCAAGGCTGGCAAGATGGAACAAGCCCTTGAGTTGTTGAATGAAATGGCCAGCAAAGGATTCAACACAGATAAGATGTACCAGTTGTTAACTGAGAGTCTGAATAAAGAGGATAAAATTGAAGAGGTAGTTCAGGTGGTTCATAAGCTGCAGGATTCAGGCATATCACCCCAGACAGTACTCTACAATACATTACTGTTTGGGCTTTGCAGAAATGGGAAAACAGATTATGCTATTGATGTGCTTGCTGATATGGTGTCCCGTGGTTGTATGCCTGATGAATTGACCTACATTATAGTCATAGAAGGTTTGTTTTATGAGGGCTATTTGAAGGAGGCAAGAGAATTGCTAAGCAGGTTGTGTTCAAGAGATGTTCTTTCTGACAGCTTGATCAAGAATGAAGCTTTGTTGTTAGATCAAAAAATTCGCTCTTCTTGAGTCATGATTAATTGAAGGGCATGTGTGCACTTTTAACATCATTGTATGTAGTGGTGGAGTAGGTTAGCACTCACACATTGCTTCAATTTTGGTTGTAAGTCCTCTTTGCTTCAGGCATGTTGTAGTGTAGAGCTTAGTTCTCCATCTTTTTTGTTCTTTCTGTAACAATGTTGTCCAATATCATGCCTGTTTAGCTGATTGTAGTTGCAATTTTCTATGCATACTTATAGATCACATTGGATTGTAAACATAATTTGATGTTTACTTTCTGGATGCACATTTAGCAAACGCACCCTCATATCCAAAATATAAGCCATTTCATGCCTGTCCTTTGGATCAGTATTCTTTGTTTCTGTTTGGAGATACTTGACCCTGGATTTAGGTTAAGGTGAAATGTGTAGCCAGGTTTAAGGAACAGGATATTGTGGGCTTGCACCTTTATAGTATTACAGGAGTTCCTGGAGTACTTTGTTTAGAAACAAGTGATCCATTTTTTAGTTGTTTGTTATATAATAAAAAACCATAAATGGGTATTAGGCCTTTGCCTCTGAGATCAGTATAGTAACTGTTACTTTGTTTTAGTTTTGTTTTAGTAGACTAGAAAAGTTGGGTTTGGGTCTAATGTGAAATCAATTCCTAGTTATGATTGCTTACTTTAGTGTAACAGAAGTGGCATTTAAAATATCATTACACAATTGGAGCTCAAGTTACTTCAGACGGATGGCCGTGCTTATCTTGTAAGGTGTCTGGACCCATGTTTGTGCCATTTCAAGATAATCAGCCATTCAGCCTTGTGATATTGTGTTTAGTATGATAATCAAAATGCAGGCTCATGCTCTGTTATATTAACCTTATGCTCAGTTAGATAAGTCTACTGAATTCGATCAAATTTCCCCTTATGCCAATTATATTAACCTCTGGCTCCTAAGTGAAAAAATAGTAGTGCTAAATATTTTTAGGACACTACTGCCGTATATTTACATGAGGGTGTCCTTGTTTTCTGTTGCTACAGTAGGAGTTAAGACAAGCCAGCTCATATGCTTTGAAAAGAAGTTGTATAAGCACTAATGCTATGGATATTGCATTAGCGGGATAGCCCTCTAATTTCTCTGTTATGGCCATTGCATGAGTTCATACATCTTTTCTTCTACTTTCATCGGTGGTAGCGAATTATGTGTCCAACCTTACTTTACTACATTTATATCTTACAGCCTAGACTGGTTAGGTTAGCATGTCATATCATTTGAAAATTCTTGTTTTGCTATGGTGTAATTCCTGAATCCTACAGTCATGCACAACTACAGAAAGCTCTCCAGCCTTGATGCCTTGGAAGACTAAAATTGTTGTGTTCGTGGTCACCTCTTACTTAATCTCCATGTTGCTCATTGTATGGGTGATTATCTTCCTTTGATCCATTTTTGTGTGTGTATAGTCGACACCTTTTAGTTTTTTTTGATAAATAGTCGACACCTTTTAGAAGGGCGGGCCTGGTGCAAGCGGTAGAGTCTTACTGCCTGTGACCGGAAGGTCCTAGGTTCGAGTCGCGGTCTCCTCGCATTGCACAGGCGAGGGTAAGGCTTGCCACTAACACCCTTTCCCAGACCCCGCGCAGAGCGGGAGCTCTCTGCACTGGGTACACCCTTTTTTAAATAGTCGACACATTTTAGTTGATTCAGGGGGGATAATCCTTCTAAGATACTCCACTGAAGTTCTTTTGAACAATGCTGGTTAGTTTGTCTTAACTTCCTTAGACTTCTGTTCTAGTGGTACCTGCTAAAGTGGTGAAAGGTTGACTGCTGCACTTGACTATTAGGGTTGCCATCGAAGCTTTCAAACTTTTTTTTTACTCTTATTAGGTGCAATCTTAAAAATTACCCCCTCCCCCCCTCTAATAGATTCAACATTTTTGTTAGTGTCTTTGCACCTACAGAGGCTAAGGTAGCAACGTAGCTTCACTAATGTGTGTTCTTGTCATCTTGTGTGTAGCAGTTGTCTAAATTCTAAACCAAAGGTAGGCTGAACATCACCAAATTTTCTGAACTTATGTTGCCTTTGCAGTTTACCTCTACGGAACTCCTGTCCTGTGGCAGTACATTACCAGTCCATAGCAACTTCCTGGGCCTGATGTCGGTAAAGCTGCGTAACCACCACCGCCGACATGATGCTGAAAGGCGAAAGGTTCGGGCCAGCGTATCATAACAGTACACCTTCCGGTCCTTTTTGTCTAATTCGTTACTTTGCTGGTCTAGGGATCGGATCGACATATCTGCTCTTTTTTTCCCTTGCTGAGATGTTGGACTAAAGGAGCATACTCCTACGACATTGCAAGTTCTGTGTGGTTGTTCGTCGTTCTGAACCCAGTTGTTCAGACTCCAAGAGCATTTTCAGCTTCTGTCTGGCTGCTTAACT